TGCATATCTGGTAACACTCCTCAACTCCACCCACTCCCGCAATACTCTCAAATTACACGTAACCGTTTTTTACATGTTAAACACATACGTATGTTTTTTTACCTCACATACACAAAAACACACACACACCCCCCCCCCCCCCCCCCCAAACCCCCCCCCCCCAAAAAAAACACACGCCTACACATGCACACTATTAATCACATTTTCAGTGGCAAAAAAATAATATTTTGGCATAATTGTAACAAAAGAAATCTCATGGCATGTCCATACATAGGGGGACATGAGTGTTCTCTTTATTTTCCAGGGCTATGAGTTAATGGAATCTAGATGTATATTTATTCTTTTCCATTAACAAGAGTTTTTAAATGGTCATTCCCCTTGCAGATGGCTCTGTCTCAAGGTTGTGACGATGCCTAGAGCAGAGCAATGCTGATGAAAGAGGCCTTTGCAACTGTGCAGTTCAGGCATCACCACTGCCCATTGTCAAAATCTTCGGATCATGGTATGGGAGGAGTTTGTTATTGTGTGACAGGGGAGAGGCTTTTGAAATTGTGATGGCAGTTTTTGGATTAAGAATAAAGATTTTTTTCTCTCTCTTTTTAGTACTATGAAATGCTTATTACCTAAAGTTTACTTAGGATATTATAAAGTATGTTTGATAAGTTGTATTAGTTGTGACATGGATGATCAGATTTTATTATTTTTCAATTATTTTGTTTGTAACTAATGTAGTTATAACTTTGTACCCTTGTTTTATTTTCTTGGAATGTAAGATATACATTATTATTTTGTAAAAGGAAAGTAGAAATTCAAACTGGAGAACTTACCCATTCACTTTTCCTTTTAAATACAAGATAGGAATAATATTTCAACCCATTAATTGATATCACTGACAAACGGCCACACAGGAGCAACAATTGACCCCCTAAACGAGCTGACTGGACGCCACTGATGCTGGCATGCACGAAACGAAAACCTCAGGTCATCAGGCCACCTAATTGACAATGGCAAATCTTGCGCCTGGAAAACAAAGACGACGGGGACCAGCTTCCCACCTTGCTTGTAGAGAGGGTGACAAGAAATTGTTAAATACATGTGGATGTGGATGGGTCAGTGTGGAACAATGTCCACTAACAAATGGCAGAACTCCCTTACACACAGCAGGTTAGTTTTATTTTGGTTTAGGGGTATGTTCAGAGGATTGCAGATTTGTATTGTAGTGAAATTGGTGTCTGTGCTGCAGAGCTGAATATTTCATTTAGCATTTTATTTTTAGGCGATTGTATATTTTAATCAGTACATAGAATAGCCCATATTTCTATAGGTCGCTTTATTAATTTTGGTGTACTAACGTGCTTGTAGTTTTTAGGAAGAAAAGATTTTAGTTTTATTACTATCAGAATTGTTGATAAAAGTTACAATGATGATGATTCTCTACAGCATGCATGTGGAAAGAAGTCGTCCATAGAGGATCCGTTATCACGAGGGAAATACAGCACAGTGAAAGCTGATGCCTGTGGGAACACGCCCCTGCTTGAGGCATTACGTATGGGCCACAAGCAACATCGCTGAGCTATGATATGGAACACAATGCCGTGTGTCATGGCCAAGGACAGAATGGACGCATGGGGATCATGTGGCAGCAGAAGCGGGCAAGCGGGAAGTGGTGGAGTTCCTCTTAGGGAAGCCATGGAGTTGATAGTCAATCTGCTCTCTGAAACAGGGAGTTGCAGCTTGATATGGAATTTTCTATTTTACTTTGTGGACCCTGTAAATTTGAAGTATAAGATATGATAATCTGAACTGCTGAAAAAGGCAAATGAAAAAAAAAAAAAAAAATAATGAAAATGTTTATTGTAGGGATTATGTTTAATGGATTAAAACATTTCTTTTCTTATCTTGTTTATTATTATTAGTATATATTATATATATATTATATAATAATATATATTATATAATATATATATATGTATATATATATATATATATATATATATATTATATATATATATATATAAACACACACATTTTTTTTTATAGCAGGCTTTCTGCAATGCATAGGCTGCAAAAGGAAGCGCCACACAGCACTGGTAGAAATGCTGGCAGACAGGGCGTAAAGGTAACACACAAGGATGAAAATGGAAGGACCGGTGAGGACACAGAGAATTTTGTTTTAGTTGTCATAGTTTTCAATCTGGTTTAAAATTTACTGTCAGATTCAGATGTTGAATTCACAAAACTTACCTAATTATTTCAATTCCAAATTTTTTTCCAGCTCT